AGACCTGAGACCTGGCGCAGGCACACAGGGGTTACTCACTTGTCGCCCGGCTCTGCTGGGGTGACCTCCGCCCAGCCAGCATAGGGGGTCGGTGTCAGCACCGAGGGGTATGCTCCGTCCCTGGGGGGTTTCGGCACTGGGCGTTTCACGCGCGCCACTCACCCGTCTCACCTTTCCTGATGCCTTTTCCACCCGCTCTCCCACAACTTGAACTCCTGCCGCGCCCCGCCCGGGATTTTCCCCCCGGCTGCACGACGGCCCCTGTATTTATTTTAGCCACTGTTCAGGCCAGGTTGCCAGCCAAGTCCATCCTTCACTGCCAGACCCAGCCAGATGGGGATAATTAGGCCTGGATTAAGTTAAAGCTTTAACTCTTTAAAAGGCAGCAGCATCACACAGACCCTCGGAGCTCCTCTCTGCGCTTGTCATCCCATTTAACTTGTTCCTTCACAGGTACACATTTCTGGAGTGCTAGCAAATCACCTCGTGAAACAGATAAAAGCATTTTTTGCAGGTTACTCATGCCCACAGTGGTCACCAGCCAAAAAGATCCGGCACGGGCCGGCATGCTGCATCACTCCTTACTGCAGGAGGGACCTGGCCACAGGGGTCTGAATGGGCACCAGTCTCAGGGGGCTGCAGACCCCAGGGCCAGACTGTCCCCCTGCTTTGGGACAGGGGCAGGGCCACGCCACCTTAGCAGGAACTGCCATTAGAAGCCAGGTTATTTTTGCAGTAACGGATCCATCAAATGCCTGACATGGTGGTGTTACCTATTCAGAAGTGGTTTGCCCAAAAACATCAACTCAGCCCAAAACGCTCGCTCACGTCTGCATGACTCCCACCAACCTCATCTTCACTCAGGAGCAAATTGCTGCCCCAACAAAGAGCTGTGAAAAAACAAACGAAGAAAAGCTCTAGTCTTTCCCAGTGGGGCACAGATTGGGTCACCAGCCAGGCAAGACCAAGCACCCCGGTGCTGTGTGCAGCACAGGCCACCAGGCCCTCCCTGCCCTCATCCCATCTTGCCTCCACCCATAGCACAATCCGCGTCGACAGAGCCGGGCAACACATTCGAGCTAGACCCAGAGCTCCTCCCAGGCCTGTGCTCAAGGCGTCAAACTTAAACCATAGCGCGAGGGCACGCGGCCAGAGCCGGCACGAGGGCAGTGAAGCGGTGTGCCCAGCTGCAGAGGGTTGCCTGGGGCTGTTGCCCAGGGAGCTGCGATAATGCAGACAGCAGCCGACTCTACCTGCTGGTTTCGGACCTTTCGGGGGGGGGGGACAGACGACACACACACCCCAAGCTCTACGTGCAATCACCCAGGAAGAGGGAGGATTTTCAAACTTGTTCCTTCCTCCCGCATCGCCTCGAGGAGCGAAACACCCAGGGACGCAGCTCAGCCGCCACACCAGGGAAGAGAACTGCCAGCACGAGCTCTTCCTCACATGACGAGCAGCGCGGCATTATGGTTACTGTGAAGTTATGCTCACACGACCGCGCGTCGCCCTCCAAAACCCAGAGCTACCCAAGGGCTAGACTTCGAAGGCAGAACTGCTTCTGATTCAAGGCAGAACGTGCTTTTGACGGTAGCCGCCCCCAGCCTGTATCAGCCATGTCCAAGTCAACGCAGCCTGAAGAAAAAATTCAAACCAAATCAATGTTTTTAATAGACATTTATTATAAAACACCAAAATACAAACAAAGTATAAAACATTATCAAAGGCGGACATGCTGTAGTATGTACACCGGATACCTGCCCAGGGTCTCTGAAAGCTCTGCAGCACCCAGGGCTTCTGTGACCACACCTGGCTCTCACCAGTCTCCATACAACACAAATCCCGTGGTCCCCAAGGCTTTACGCATAATCGCACTCGAACGTGTACTCCCTCCTCTTGAAATGTTTCTTCTTTTTCAGCTTCCCAGACCCCAAGATGCTGTAGTTATAATCAGATGTCACATAGGGGATCTCTCCCTCAACTCCTTGCTGGAAAGGGGAAAAACAAAACCAGAAACAATTTAAGGATTCACATCTTCAACACAACAGGAAACACTTTCCCCTACAGACTGACAGAGCTGACTGGTGGAGCAAACTATCACCAAACCAACCCTTGCGCTGGTATCTGAAACACGAGAAGAACATTCTCCTCTCCCTTGTTTCTATGCGTTAAGGACAATTTCCCAGAGAGATAACCATCTGCTATTGCCCAGACATCTCTGGGCACGCATAAGCCTCAAAAATAAGAGAATAGGGTATGTGCCAGCCAGCCTGAGCTCAGCCAGCCTCCACCCTCTTCCTGTGCAGCTCCTACCTGGCCCACAAGAACACAGTTTGGGATAGCAATATTTCCAAGGAGCAGACAATTCACTAGTCTCAGGTTCTCTGGAGGCACCGGCGTCAGAACATGGTAAAGCTTCTTCTCCATCTCAACCCCCCGGACAATTCCTGAAAAAAAACAAACCACACGCAGAGTTCAGTTAACTCCACCAGATCGTATAACCAGATGCAGCTGAAGCTCTCTGAATAAATGGCTCTTCTAGAACCAGGAGAGGGATGTGAGACACATCTCGAGAAAAACCTGCCCTGCTGCATCCCACTCTTCCAGTATCTCAATGTACTGACAAACAGCTAACTTCCCAAACTGCCTGTCTTTTTTCACTGGTACATTCCTACAGGAACTCAAGGAGCTCCATATTGAGCTCCGTATCAAACTCCAAGTCAGAACTGTAATATTAAAGCAAGACACAGAAGGAAACCAACAGACAGCTACAGGAATTTTACATAAGCCACGCAGAATCTGCTTTTCAGAATGTGAATCGAGAAAGGAAGTAAATTGTCAAGTTACGAACAATGAGAGAAGCAAGCTACAGAAAGCACCACTCAGTGACATTCCCCACAGTTGTTACAAGTTAACGAAAACCGAAGGACTGGAGGGCCAGCTTCTAACAGAAGAGAATACATGATTATTCTTTAATCTCATCCCACTTTTTCAGTTGTTTTTGAAAGAGTAGGTGATCCCACCACTCTACAACCTATCTGCCAAAACACGACAGGAGAGACCACAGCTCCAGGTTTCCCGGGCTTGCGCACCAAAGCCAAGGCAATCACAGACCGGTGTCTGTGTCAGCAAGACTGGCCCGTCAGTTTGGCATCTGATTTCGTCTGGTATCCTGCAGAGCCCAACCCAGCTGGCGTTCACAGCATACATTATGTTGGTAGGGGCAACATCGGTGTGAATAACCTTGAGCGCAACAGCACTGAAAGGTACCTGAGGGGGTAAAAAACAGAAGAAAAACTGTTCATCGGCTCAACATCAACTTTGTTCAAGTTCAGAGGCAAGATAATGCCAAGCACACAAAACCTGAAAGCTCCCAGCCCACACCTACAGACAGGTGTTGTCTCAGTGGCGAACACAACAGTTTCAACACTAACAACCGAACACACAGCAAACACAGGCCACGCTGACATCTTGACAAAAACCTCACTTCTAGATACACTGAATAAAGTCATTATCTTTTTGCAGGTTACAGAGCATTTTCCCCTCTCCCGAAAAACATTTGCAGTACAAGCAGAACTGTCAATTACTATGAGCCAGGCTTCCTGCAACACCTCCAAGCCTTTCAAAAACGCTCATTTACCTGGTACGGCACAAGACTGTGGAGCGGAAGCACCGCCCCTATGTCTGGGGACTGCAGCTGACCCAGGTAACCCAGTATGGACATGTCACGCAAGATGCCGCTATGTACTCGCCTGGAAAAATAACCGCAACAAGTGACGGAAAGGCAGCACACCCTCCCACAGTGATTCCCACCAGATACCCCAGGCAGTCCTGAGTATGCCATGCAGTATTAGCTGCTATTCCACAGGAGTTTAGTTTTTAAAACTTCGACTGCTGAAGAAAATTTAGAGCTATGTTTTTATTACCTCTAAGGGAACACAGGATTTAAGGCATTGTTTCCACTTTAAAAAGCACTAATTAACAAGGGTGGTGGATGTTTTGGAGTTCTTTTTTTGAGGTGGGGGTGGATTTTTTTGGTAAACAAAGTTTGTTATTAGATAATAGCTCCCTTCTCCAAACCTGATGTCCGCACACCTTTCAGCCAGTCAGTCGTGAGACAGAGCAATACATTTGTTTTCTTAAATAGCTCATTAGTGAAGGCAGAGTCAAAAAGGGCACTTAAAATCAGCACAAAAGACCCAAGGTCCAGGAAAATAAACGTTTCAGAGATGCTCAACGCATCAGAGAAATTAAGAAATAACGGGGTCTTAAGAAATGGGTAAGGAACCCACCAATTGGGGGGGGGGGGGGAAAGGAGTCAGGATATTCAATGATTCCAAGCGGAAGTCACGCCTGGTGTAAAAGTAAGTAACTGACAGTAGTCCTTGGGAGTAGGGTACAGAGGAATAAACCCCTCCCGCCCAACCCAGAAGACCAACCCTACACAAACAGCACCCCAAACAAGACACTCGGAAACCCCAAACCACACCCAAACATAACCCCCTAATAAGTACACTAATAAGCTTCGACCAATCTAACAGAGCTCTCGAGGCCAAAGCAAGGCAAGAGCCGTTACTGTCAGGACTATGCATGATTATGTTAACCTCACTAACCACCACGCAGCACTGAAATTTCTACTTACGCTTCACCTGCAACCCCTGCTCGAGGGAATTCTGGATGGACGTACAGCAACTTATACTCAGGAGCTGCTGCATCTCCCTCCCCTTCAGAGGGCTTCCAGTTCTCCGCTCCACTCGTACCCATCTGCTTGCATTTGGCTGGTGGTTTGCCTTTAGTGTACAGGCCAGGAGTGAGATGAACGCACTCGGGGGTGAGCGGAGCCATGGCCTTCCAGTCGTACACATCCATCTGGACAATGTGACTGGGCGACAACAGCCGAATGATATCAATCAGAAGCAGCAACCCCTCACCTTTAGGGAGCAGAGAAAACACGATTGCTGCCACTACGTAAACAGGTTGGAACGCTGTTAGGGAAGACCAGTACGAGCTCAAGGGAGGTAAACTGTATTTTCTGGTTCTGCACTCTCTAGAAAGCACGGTGGTGTACTGCTACAGTTAGTACCTTCCTCCCACACCACCTGGAGAACAGATTTATGCTGTTTACCTTTCACCCAGCCCATGGTGTTGATGACTAAAGGCACTTCCTTCTTGTAGGAGCTGAACACGTACTTCACGACATCAAGGTATCTTTCTGTGTCCTGCTCACAACTCGTCTGTCCATAATACACCATCTTATGTGGCGTTTGTTGATGCGTGAATGGTGGACCTGAAAAAGGAAGCAGCAAACCTCTAGTGTAAGTCAAATCAAAAAACTCTCATCCCTGTAGCACCTACATAAAAACATTTCTGAAATAATCCGTCCTCTTTTCACATGGTAACAGTCCTTCTTGTACACAGCCTGCACCCATGGGGAAACTTTTCTGTCACTTGCAAGACTCCATGCCAGGAGTTTTGTTTGTTTGGGCTTTTGGGTGTTGTTGGTTTTTTTTTTTTTTTGTTTTTTTTTTTTAAAATCACTGGTTACACATTTGTGAATTTTAGAACAACAGTGTTCCATGACAGGCTATCCAAAGAGTAAACCAGTCTGCTCATATCCTTTTTAGACAGCAACCCAAATCCACAAGACCACAAATACCAGCAATTTCTGTGGCTCTAGTTTTTTTACGCTCATAACAACAGCCCCCGAACTATGTGGATCCACTTCGTATTTAAGCTAGTTTTACCTATGGATACCACAAACTGGGAAAGGTTTCCCAAAGAGACATTTCAAATCTGGAAGGCTGAAAATCCACTTTGGCATGCCACAGCCTGTTCCACCACCTTATAAACAACTATCTTCTCCTCTCTTCAAAACAGAAAAAACAAGCAGGGAGAACAGCTCTGTGTTACTTAGGGAGATTTTCACATGGAGCTTAGACACCCCCAGCAAGAAAACTTTTATAGTCTTTGTTTCATTTTCTATATGCACCTTCGACAGATGTGGCAACTTCCCCTAAAGCACAGCCTCTGCTCAGAAAGCGCCTTCTGAAAGAGGTTTCCGGCAACTGCAGAAAATGGCAAAACACGTACCAAGAATTGGCTCTGTTACATTACTTAAAGACACGCATCCAGGCGGCGTAAATTCAGTTTGACCTATGTCACATTCCATATATTCAACCGAGGGAAGGCTGCAGTGAAAGAAGCCCGTATATTAGCGTCCACTAAAAGAAAAAAAAGACGTGGGACACAACCTGGAACACATCAGAAGCACAATCTGATTTTTTTTCAGGTTGTCAAAATTAAATTCTCGAACGCAATCAAACCACCACTTGTCTGTCTCTCCTTCCCTCGAGGGGCTATTAAGCGAGAACGTAAAAGGACCACCTATAGTTCAATATTGTATTACCATAGCTCCATACCCACCCAGCTTTAAGGGAAGTCGCTAGAACAATAATCAGAGGTGGTACCAAGCAGTGTTCCACCTCTCCCACATTAACTGACCAGCCATTTGAGATTCATAAACTTTACTATCTTTATTTTAAGCATGCAGTGGTTAGGAGAATAAGCTTCCACATCTTGCTCTGCCAAGAATCTTCAAAGACACTAACGAATTATAACTTACTACGTTTTTTAAAGTGTTATAACTCCCAGTTCCTTACTGAACCCTAACTGCTCAGAGTCATTAGTTCACATACTCCAAAACAGCAATTTAGTAGTATTTCAGTATAAATGTTTCGGTAGGCAACTTTTCTGAAAGGAACCCATGCCAAGAATGCCTATTTTTTTGAATTTTTGTTTGTTTGTTTTTAGAAGATACCCACCTTCCAGTTGTAACAGATTTTCTGAGAACCTTAGCAGGAAGGCTTTTTCTTTCTCTTAAATCCCATATAGTACTTAAAAACTTGCAGAACATGAAAAGACTCACCGATTCAGTAACAGATTAATTAGGTATCTATTAAATGTCGATTTCCCAGTGTTTTTTGGGCCACACACCAGAACCACCGGGACGCCTTCATCTTCCGCTAGAAAAACAAAAATACTCTGAAATGGACCAATGCTATCAGTTATTCTGATGTGCCCCGTTTACATCAATGTTAAAAAAATAAATTAGACTCTGTGATCTAACCAGGATAGATTTTAATTATACGGGAAACCTGCCCCCACATTAAAGAGAAGCAGGTTAAGTGTACCAGTGTAAAAGGAGTAAGGCTCCCGAAGTGAGAAGCAACCCTAGCACTAACAGCAAGCCTGTAAGAACTCACATTTCTCAGGGTATTTTAGATGCTGCTGGGTAAGTAACAGTAACGGGGTGTTTTTTGCTACCTGCTACAAAAGAGAGCAAAATGAGAGTTTTGATGTCAGACTGGGAAGCGCCTTTACAGCAAGGAGCTGCCTGTCTGGCAGCAGAGGCACAAACCCACTCGAGGTGATGCGCTATTTAGGAGAAAAACAGGACACTAAATCAGTGCCTGTCACAGGCTCTCCCTAACTTTTAACTCACAAAAAACCTCATGACTTTCCTTTCTTCAGGCTACTACAACCCCATATCTCATCAAGCGCATGCCACTCACCACAGCATGCTTGGATCAGCTCCTCCAGAGCCAGAAGCATGCTCTCTGACACCAGCAGCCCGCACTCGGGGCTACACTTCACGATGCCAACAGATGCCAGAACCGCATCTTCCGGTGTGAAGCTGGATTCTTCCTTTTTCTAGGGAAGAGGCAAAAATGCTTAGAGAGGTGTGCCTAACACCTTGCAGCTGCGTTGCTGGACACCCACAGGCATGCTAAGCAGGGCGGGTGCCTCTCGCTCTGCATGAAGCCTGTTTTGGGGAAGGTGTGGCATCCATGCCGGCGGCACCCAGGGTGGAGCAGGCATCACGACACCCCCTGAGTCTCACCTGGGGCTCGAAGAGTCGAGACAGTGGCGGGTGGC